TGACGTTAAGTAACGTAAAACAAACAAACTTACGTGTACAAAGTTACCAGCGATAACTAACACATTGGTTCACTCTCTATCTCAAACGTTTCATACTTCAAAACTATCCCGTATTCATAATCTAGCTTCGAATGTGTTAGAACACTTTTTCCCACATCCTTAATTTTCTAGGCCTATCTTATTAAACCTTCTGATCCTAATGTCATCATTAAGACTCGCAACTCCTTCTAGCGAACACTGAAATTACAACATTAGAAACATAAGTTCCAACAATATTATTCCATGTTATGGAATGATCTTCTCTGACATGACATGGTATTGGAAAGAGAGATTGGTATTACAGAGTCTTGTATGTTTACTGTGCCTCTGAATCTTGACTTTTGTCGTTAATGTAATGGAGTTTTTGTTGGCTTTTGTTCTTCATTGGGTGTTTAGGTAGTTTGGTACGTAATTAACTGCGATCGTGTTATGAGAAGCTTGTAAATACTGTTCTGACTTTACCTTTTCAGATATTTTTGACATAGAGGAATGAATACGGCTGTGTGACTGTAACTTTCTACATGGTTATTCTTGGTTTTTATATTCTTTATCAAGTTTGTTGGTGCACAATGTCAAAGATGTGTTTTCTTCGTTCTTAGCATTATCTGTATTACAAATCTTCTTCATTTTGAAGACTTGGTTAGTTTATACCTCCTCTCTTTAGACTGTTGAGATGGTTTGATATATAGTTGAAATATCCGCCATTATTTGTGGGTTCCTTGTGATATATGTTGTCTTGGTAACCATCACGTCTAGGAATAGAAGTTTGCTATATTGTTCTAGTCTCACTTTGAATTGTATCGATGAATGTTATGTGTTAAGGTCGTTTCATGTTACAACATATCTGAGCAAATCCTGACTGTTTTGGGGGCGTTATTTTTGACATGTTCCATGTTCAAGTTAGTGAGTACTGGTGATACGTACAAGTCGATGACTAAGCCTTGTTATTGTTTTTAGTGCTAGAAGTACGTTGTGTTAATGTATAAATTTGTGAGTTCTACCCTATGTATTATTGTGAACGACGAAGGCAGATAAACAGTTGTAACATAGAATATAAACATGTTAGTATTTAGTTTCTAGTTCTAAAAAGAGTAACAAATTGATAATTACAGACGTAAGTGATCATATAAGCTAGAAATCACGACGACTGATATCCGATTGCCACAATCTTACCTTAAGTAGTTGAATTCATGTTGCTTTTTAATAATCAGCGTATATTATGGACATTAACTTCACCTAAGTGATCTGATACGGGTTTAGGCATATCTGATCATATATCAAGCATTATTATAGTTTCTCACTGTCTACTATTCATAATTATTTTCGTGTCTAACTCATTGTCGGAAGGTACGTTATACAGTTTCGTAGAAATCTATGCGTTCGTTTTGTTTTTCAAAATAAGTTGTGAGGTACTACTTATAAATCAGCAGTAATCCCTCTACAAACCGACAAAACGTGTATTTTTCTAAGGTGATCTTATTTCTACAACAGAATGTGTTGTTGTTTTTTTGCACCATGAAAGAATTTGATAAAATAATAGAAACACTTTCCTGCTAGTTTATATGGATAAGTTGTCTTGAATATTGGATTAAAAATACATTCAAAAGTCAACCAATTTATCATTTAATGAATATGTATATATTTAATTGGGGATGAGAACAAGGTCTGGGATTTATTTTACACCTGTTCTATAGAACCAATTACACTTTCAGTTCACTCAGAGTTATTGCTTCATCGTTCAAGGTTTGGTTTCGTTCAGTAATTATGTGTTATTATTATTATTTTTACTTTTATGTCCTCTAAATATGGAGAGCGTTTTTTTTTTCTTTTTAGTGATCATATTTTTTAAATGCACAATTCTAACTTGTCTTACAAAATCATAAGCTATAAGAACATCCGCATATTCTGCTTTTCCTTGCTTCAGTTAATCTTATGTCTGAAAATATTTAACTTCGAGTACCTCCCCCCCCAAAAAAAAACGCATGCAAAATTTAATAAAAAAACAAACAAAACACAGATGCCTGAAGGCCTAATATGTATGTTTGAGTTGGTGTTTTTTGTGCATCTTGTATATAACTTCTCTATGTTCTTAGGTTTGTTCATACAAGATAGGAGAACTGAAGATAAAAGAACTGAGGAAAAGAGCAGAGAAAGAACTTGGTAAGAAGCTAGAAGAAAAGCACGTCTCAATCTGTATAATTTTGTTGTTCGGGGTTATTCCATGTCATACAATGGTGCACTAGTATGATGAGTACACTGGAATGGGCGGCAACTGGCTGTTGTAGAAATAACGCAAATGTAGAGGATGACGTTTCGAAAGTCTTCCGTCTGGTGTTTTTTCCACAACGGGCGTTTGTCACTGCCCACTACAGTGTTCTTATCGTCAACACTAAACAATCTATCAGAGGTTCAGTAGTAATTTTAAACTGCTATAGTACAGTACTGCATTTCGTTTTCAATAACGTCTGTTTCTTCTGAAAAATAATATTGTTTTCGGTTTTTAACTATTGGTTAATTTATTTATAAACGTTTTTCATAACCCTGAAATACCAAAAACAAAAACGGAAATCGAGCCATTATCATAATGATTATCCTGTTCTAATCAAACTCCTGTTTACAATTATCACGTTTAAGATAACATTTTACTCTTAAGATGATTTCTTTTTATATTTTTCAGGTAACAAGTTTTATATCAAAGATTTTCATGATGTCATCTTGAGAAACCAGGGTCCATTAACTTTGTTAGAAAAACAAGTGAATATCTATATCCAACAATATCGGCAACAGTGAAAGGAAAGATTGTTTATCTATTGGAAAGTTCCAGGAGAGATCTGTGAGGCTTGAATTTTATGTAAACCGAAATAATGGTAAAATAATGTACACTACAGAGAGATTGTAGCCCCTTAGTTACTGCTGAAATTTACTTAGTGAAATTTACTTTTAAACTTATATATCCGTAACGTATAAAAATTTCTATAACACTACAAAATAAAGTTTTATTGATTTTTTTTGTTCTCAAACATTATACGTGCTTAATTTTAATTTCAACAAGAATTAATATTAATCTTTTATTAATGTTAAATGTTTAAAACATAAAACTACGGTGTTTTAAGGTTCAAAGTGTACAAGTGTAACCACCCTAGAGCGGCATGATTTTTAACAATTTTATACAGTCAGTGTAGGCTTAACTCCAAAATAATTTTCAAACTCTGAAAGAACATCTTCATCTTTATAACAATTTACATCTATCTTTGTGTATGTATGTTTGTATGTACAATGCTTTATCTAAATGAATTAAATATATTTTAGTGTAGCCATTTTGGAGTGGCTTCGTTTTTAACAGTTTTGCACAATCAGTGTTGGCTTAACTCCAAAATAAGTTCCAAACTCGGAGAGTTATTACCTTTATACCAGTATTTTTTTCTTTATAAATAGACTTTTCCCAAAAGAGCTGAAGATATATTAGTACATTGCATCCTTAAAATATTTCAGAAACGGTATTTTTAACAGCTGACGTATGTCTACTAGTAAAATGTAGACGGTCTATGAGCTAAAAGTTTGCGCATACTAATTAGTATTAGTAATACGTATGGATTTATACTTCCAAACAATCCTTTATAGATTAGCCTTATATCCCTGTGTGTTCAAAGTCAAATTAACTTGTTTTAACGTATGGATTTATACTTCCAAACAATCCTTTATAGATTAGCCTTGTATCCCTGTGTGTTTAAAGTCAAATTAACCTGTTTTAATGATTTCTCAGGCAGCAACTGTGTCATAGTTAATTTTAACGAAGAATCTACTTTAACAGTATTTTCTCTGACCTGATGTTATGGTATTCAAGTATACTTTTGTCTGACAAAACGTTTTAATAACACAACAAGTTCTTGTAAATTTATACAGAGAATAAAACTAACATGTACAGCAAAGTGAAAAACAAACACAACTAAGCAAATAAACAAAATCTTTAATCATAAATAGTATAAGATTTGACTTAGATCGCGGTTCTAATTTCGTTCTGTAACTTCTAACTTCTGGGACAGAAATATAACTTTTAAAGTCTAAAAAGGACGAAGACTAGAACAAAAGTATTGATACCACACTGTCAGTCAGGGGAAGTCTGTAAATGATGTTATTATTCACAATTTAATTGGCCATATGAACTCGTACATTGCTTTTGCACTCAAATACGCAATTATCTCAATATGTAAAAAAAAAATATTTTTTTTCTTGTAAAAACACCTTTGATTTTTTTTTTTGAACAAATTTTTGAATCGTAGATTTTTATGTTTTTCAAGCGACACTTCTATTCGAAATTGGTTTTTCAAAAATATATTTTTTTCTTCAAAAGTCGCCATTGTTAGTTCTTTATCTATCGAAATATCAACTAACATACATATTTAAGAAATAATTTGTTTTCGTGTAAAAACCTAAGGCGTTTGTATTTTGGAAAATATGCTTGTATCATAGGTTATCGTTTTCTTCAAAGTAAATAATGTATTGGATAGGGGCTTTTCAAAAATATATTTTTATTGAATAAATTCTCATTTTTAACCCTTAAAGTTTTCATAAAAATTTTGCCCATCTTTGATTTCGCTTTATTCTTGCAATGAAGACAATAGTGTTGGGAATTTTCGATATTTTATTTACCAAATTTGTGAAATATTGAATATTTTGTGTTTATTTCTCATATTGTTATTTTGTTTTTCTTATTATATTTCTTTAAGGAAAGATGCAATCAATCATGGTTTCAGAAAATATGTATATTTTAAATTAAACTCCAAGTCTGTAAATTAGTTTATTATTGACGATTGAATGGGCCATTTTTTTTAAAAATTCATATTTCCACCAAAAAGCCAAGGCTATAACCCATGTTTTTGCCCAAAATTAAAAAAAAAATGTTTTCCCTCATATTTGAATACGAAGATGCCCTTGATGTAAGACTTTCAAAATGGATATTCATTCATCAAAATTCCCAATAGTTATTTCATAATCTGTCACTAAAATTTCGGCTATCTTCGATTTTACTATTTTTATTTGTCTTCAGTTATATTGTAAACAAAGGATATCTTTAAAAATAAGATTATTCAAACAAAATCCCCTCGACGTGGATTCCTGTACGTGGTGAGGGGACCTCCCAGGTAAGGTTTTGTATTTTCAGTTACTTCTTCTGGGATGTAAACATTCACCCACGTGTTTGCCGTGCGTGGCGACCAGTGAAGGGGAGGAGAGGATCCTGGTGGTTGAGTGGTGTCTGTAGCACTGCAACACACCACTTTGGCCTTGAATTCATGTAGACAGGTGGCCTTGGGGTGCCCCCAGGGTCAGTCGGCTTGTCCACTCGGGCTAGGGTCTGAGTACCAGTGTTGGGCGTTTTGAACGGGTGTTGTGGACATCGTGTCTGATGTTGGTGTTTGGGTATAGTGCTCACGAAACCCTGGCGTTGCTGCAATGTCCTTGTTTGATATTGTAGTGTGTCCCCTCGTAGGACTCCATGGCTGGTGGGGTCTATGGGCACTGAATCTTTCTCCTTAATTATGGATCCCCCAATCCAAATAAAAAACATATTAAAACTCTGCTAATCGGTAAACGACCACGCCTAGAAGACTCTGAACAGCAGTATCCATCACAAAGTACACCTGTACCTCGCTTCCTGATCCTGCATTCAATGTTTAGGGCAAATGTCTCCCTTTTTTATTCAGAAGGGATTAGAGGAGCTTGCTGACTCTCCAAAGTCAGTTAAGAAGCTCCGTTCTGGAGACATCTTAGTTGAAATATCCACAGCTAAGCACTGTGAAGTCCTCTTGAATTCAAAGGCCATTGGGGATATACCCATTGAGGTTACTCCCCACGCTTCCTTGAATTCCTCACGAGGAGTTATTGTTGAGAGGGACTTGAAGTTTATCCCAGAGTCAGAGATACTTGCTGGTTTCTCCAGCGGTTTGGTCATTCAAAGACATCTTGTCGTGATTCTGCAACGTGTGGTCGTTGTGGTGGGAAGGACCACGATGCTTACGAATGCAAACTGCACCCACACTGTGTTAAATGTAGTGGTTCCCACCCCTCTAGTATTAGGTCTTGCCCTTAGTGGATGGAGGAGAAAGAGGTACAGCGTTTGAAGACTGCTCACAACATTTCTTATCCAGAGACTCGGAAGCTATTGTTCCCTACTCCATCTCGAACATATGCCAGTGCACTACGCTCCACTGCTACAGTGGGAGTGCAGACGTATCTCTCTATGCCTCCATCTGAGTCTTTTTCACACCATGCGAGGGGTCTTTTGCCCTCTATGGATAATAGAGTTGATACTCCAATCTCTGTCCTCACTATTCCTTCCAGTGACAGCCTGGGTCAACTCCTCGGGCACCAGCCTCTGGTGTCTGCTCGGGTCCTTCTTTGGCCCCTAAATACAGGACGATCATTCGATCACGTTCTCAGTCATTGGATTCTCACTTTGATGACAGAGATCTATCCACTCAATCAAGGGCAGGATCCATGGAGGTCGATCGTCCTCCATCTAGTAAAGAAAAACGGCGTGGTCGTAAACCGAAGGGTTCTCCACCATGTTCTCCTAAACCTACATAAAAATGGAACTGTCGAGGTTTTCGTTCTAATATCGATGTCATTAAAGCCTTGATTGACTCCTATCATCCCGTGTGTCTTTCTTTACAGGAAACATTTCCGAAACCTGCCGATACAGTCACCTTTTGGCAGTTTTCTTTGTACCAGCATGACAGGTTATGTGATGGGCGGGTCCACGGAGGGGTGGCACTGCTGGTCCACCAGCATGTGCCCTTCTTATCTGTGTCCCTCGATACACCCTTGGAGGCCGTAGCCATCCGTGTTTCCTTGGGTTGTACCATCACTGTTTGTTCCCTCTACCTGTCTCCTGGGGAGACTTATGATCAATTGGACCTTGATGCTCTCGTTGAGCAGTTGCCACCTCCATTTCTACTTCTGGGAGACTTTAATGGACACAACTCCCTCTGAGGTGGTGCTGATATTGATGGGAGGGGTCGTTCCATAGAGTGTATGCTCTCGGATCACAACCTTTCTCTCTTCAATACTGGAACATATACTTATTTTCATGCACCTAGTCAGTCTTTTACTGCCATTGATCTCCCAATTTGCTCCCCTGCACTTTTTACACGCTTTTCTTGGATGGTCGACAGTGACCCACGGGACAGTGATCATTTTCCTATCATACTGAGAGAGTTTGGCCATAGTTGATGCCACCTGACCCGAGTGCCACAGTGGAAGCTGGACCAAGCTGACTGGCCATCTT